CGGCTCAGAATACATGAATGTCATTGGAGCGTGGGATACAGGACCCATGCTGGAATGATTCAGCCTTCACGCAAATACCAATATGAACATGCGTTTTTGTTTCCGTTTATTTTATTTGGATATCGGCGAACGATTTAATAAGACGTTTTACCCTTTGCCCAGAGGCTATCATAACTATTAAAAACCTTGCCAACAACAATGTATGTACGGAATATTAGTTACAATGAACACAATAAGCAATGTCAGGAGTAATGAGCATTTCTTTCCAAGCTACAGGATCATTTGCAGCCAACTTACCGCATGACGGTATCTTACTAATGAAAACTAGGCATGCGCAATGCGCATTCTTCTAAGCGTTTGTAAGCATACATGCGGTTGAGAAATCCATTCCGTGTGATCGGGCTCCAGGATGCGGTTTCACTCTCGACCTATATGTGCGAACTTTGTACAGCTTCACCACCATGCAGTCCTGGGAACCGAGATATGTGGCACCAACTACCGCCCAGTAAGTCTGATTGTTCCGGCTGATAGCTGTGGCAAAATGCGTTCTTAGGGAATTCCACGCAAATACTCAATCACTTTGGAATTCAATGCTCGATAGAGGTTGTGGCTGTATTATCATTCAATCTTATGCGCGCTCATATTAACGCGTGGGATGGTACTAAACAGTAAGCTCATTATGATATTGCGTTGCATTCCCTTGAAGGCATGTCGAGCATGGATTAGTAGACGATAGTTAATCACATCAAATTACAGTGAATACAGTTATGGTATATTTTCCATTCTCTTTTCATATTCCCATTATTTCATGCTTTCCCCTTTACTCTAAAACCACAAAATCTCCTGTGGTTTCCACCGACTGGTTACCACGTCTAGCAGTAGTCGAGGCACCGGTCCAACTTCCGTGCAGAAGTCGGCCCGTGTCCACTGCCCACTGCCCAGTCAGCTCCTTTGACTCGGAACGGCCAACCAAGGCTACTCGTGCACCCCGCCCACCTTTCTGTCCTGGCATTTGTGTCAGTCGCCGGTTCATTGTCTGACCACGAGTGGTTTCCTGCGATGGCTATCTCTGCCCCGCTGCCGCCCTACACTGCTGGTCTCGATGGTGAAGCCCAGGGCACTAAAGAGTCGTGAAGCCATGTGGATAGGCGCAGTGCAGAAGCGGTGGTGTAAATGACGCTATACATTGATGAACGCAAGAGCTTAAATGTCCTTTGCCATATAAATACCATATTGCTAAAAACAAACTAAAAATACATGAAGTTGTGATTGATAAGTTTCCACTTCCTTTGAAAGGAATTCAGAGCGGTATTCGTGCTTGCGGTTTTTTTTTCGATAGCCGTATCGCCATGTTTATGTATATGCCTTTCGAACACATGTCAGAACCGAAATGTGCCATTATCAGATCACTGCGACAAGGTGCAAACATCTCATCAAAGTCTAATCGGGGGTCATGTTTGTGAATCGCGCTCACTACCGTGCACCCCATCGCACACACGACTCAGTGAGCCATGAAGCTGACGATGACATGAGCAGTACCGTCCAAAGGCGGATCGAGTGTGTTATACTGTTATACTATCACCACAGCAGCGACAGATGTTGTAACCCTGACATCTCAGAGCAGTGCATGAACGTTTTTGGGGCATCCACGAGTAGGTTTTGTTGTCATGCAGAGAGATCTTTGCCAGAACTTATTAGGGTAATGAAATGGAACCAGGATGGGCTGCATATCAAAAAGTTTAACCCTATTAGTGGCAGGCTCCTGGCTACCCCCTATTAGTGGCAGGGGGGGCTGTTTACGACCCCCCCTTGATATCTCGAGATCTAACGGGCCGATTTTCAAAATTCAAACGGCATTCGATTTCGCTCAACGTGATCTACATTTCTAAAAAAATAAAAATTAAAAAATGTCAATAGGGGGGTAGAGGGGGGTAAAAACGGGCAAATTGCAGATACATTTTAGACTGTTTATCACGGCCAGGTTTCTGAACCAATCTTAACGCAGCTTTTGCCGATCGATAGAGAATGAACCAGGAATTCACATGGATCCTAAAAATATGCATTTTCAAAAATCATAGGCGGATACAGATCATTGAGATTGGGGGTACACAAAAAGTATAGTAAATAAGGTTTTTATTGGTACTGTTTCTAAAAAGGGTGGTAATGGTCTTGTTATGTTATAATTTTCTTATGAGAGAACGACTAAAATTGTATTGGTAATGCATAGGCGGTGTCAGGGCACCTATGTTGGGAGGTAAAACATAACCCCCCTTTTTGGACGCCTGGATCCGCCTATTATAGCAAAAACGTGTCAAAAGAGGATGCACAATAACTGTATATGTTATTACATGATACCTTTTATTCACTGTTCGTAAAACTGGTGCAGCATCGTGATCTTCGCCCAAATGACTCGCTTCACGAATAGGACCCCCCAATTCCCAGTGCTCTGGAGCCGCCCCTGGTAAAGTTATGAACTTGAAATTTTCAGGGAATGTGCCCAATTTAGTTTTAGGAAAAGTCAGAAAATTTCAGCATCGTAGCTTCAGCGGTTTCGGAGATATTCCCGAAAAACCTGAGGGGTGGATAAAAACAACCCCCCCCCCCCCCTGCCACTAATAGGGTTAACGTGTCTTTGGCGCTACGGTTAGAAACACGTTATTTTTAGGCTGCTGCTAAAAAGGTCAGCCGTTCTATTGTCCGCGCTAGTCGGCCTCCTCTGTCCTGTGAGCAGCCCGACCAGTCGGTGCAGCCGCAGCCTTCGCTCCTCAGTCCTGGCGTGATTAACCGGCTAAGTCGCCGACAGTTATTTTAATTCGTGCCGGCCGCTCAAACAAAGAATGGTCGCGTGACGACGCTTTGATTTCACTGCCGGCTTTGGCAGGTAGACGATGCCAGGTATGAGGCCGCCGACGGTGTGGGACCGGCGTCTACACGAGGGAACGAGGGGAGAGCCGGGCGCGGACGCGGCGTCTTCCCCGCTGCATTCCGGCTGTCATCGGGCCGGTGTCATCTAACGTGACAGATGTCAGTGACTGTCAGCTGTCCGGTTGGTGTTGCCGCTTTGATAGAAGTATACCCGATGTCATCTGTCTGTATTTTTGCCGCTGCAGCCGCTCCGACTGCCTTCTTTTAACGTCAGCGCCTGACAACAGCCTGTGACTGCCTCCTGTCGAGCCTGTGTCAGTGTCATATGACTCACGACAGTCACTCCCGACAGTCACTGTCTCGTTACCTCCGCGACAGCCGCTGCGACGGACATGTGTCGGTGATCCCGGCTCAGCACCGACCGTGCCGATCAGTCGCCGGCCGAGAGACGCCGTGCGGTTTCTTATCTCGGACCTGTCTCGCCGGCACCCCGGATAATCTCTCCCAGCACTGAAGGAACAGGCCGGCCGTGGGGACACCGGCAGTGGCGGCAGTCGGAGACAAAGACCAGTTCGTGAACCCATTCGTGATAGATCATTCTCAGTGCAAACTATGCGGCACGAACTCGTTGCGCGGCAGACACAGAAGAAGAAAGGCCTCCAGTTTTCCCGTGTCACGTCCCGGCCGAGGAGGGGTGTGGACGCGACTGAGCGGGGCTGAGGCGCGGCTGGACCCGGTGCCATCGGCGCGGCCCCCTGCAGGTCCGGCGCTGACGCCACGGTGACGGGCTGTCCCGTCTGACGGGCAGACAGACGGACTGATACCGCGACCGTGCCGTGCTGTTCACAACAGGAACTGAACAGGATATCAGCAACAAAAAGCGCTGGTAAATATTTAGCAGTGGTGGCGTTGGCGGCTAATGGTGAACAGCACACTAACTGAAAGTTTGAGGTGCAAAGCCCTGAATGGGTATTTTGGCCATGAAACTGCATATTTAGTGGGCAAACTGAATGTGTGAATGTCACCTTTCTTCCCTTTGAAAGTCTTTTATTAGTCAATAACGTTATTCAAAGTGCTCTTGTAATGTATAGTTGCAAGACGTATGGTATGTATAACCTACACCTATTTTTTACATATCAAAAATGTCTCTAGAAAAGCCGGTCGCATGTCCCAGATTGATCTTAGATCGATTTATTTCCGACTTCCTTCTCCATTTTCCTGCATACCACACTGCCGGGGCAATTATCTTCTGATATCCGGGTGAATGCTGAATTTCGGCACCTAGCCGCGGTGCACCACACAGCTGCAACACCTCTGGCGTCTGTCTAAGAATAGATGGACGGTTTGAACACTCTGCAGTGTGCGTGCCGACATTGAGGTCCACACCTGGCAGCGTGAGATTTTATTTTTTGAATGGATTGTATCTCACGGAATGAAACATATTTGCAGGGCTTTCAGGGAAGCAGGCAGACTTAGGTAAGCCACATGCTGAACATTTTTTTTCGTTCCCAATCTGACAACAGTGGGAACTTCAAAGTAGAACTCTGCATGGAACCTCAGTGTCTTTCATGGAGGACACAACGTAGCACAAAATGTGAGGAGCCATGCACTGAAATAAGTCTTTCAAGCACCTATCTGATGCACTATTTAGGGAGCAAACACAATGAGGGCGTTGCCTGCATTTAGCAACTTCATCGTCCTTGTGGCCATAAGTAGCCTTTCACCTTACCACTGCTGCACATTCGTTAAAACATTCGTTTTCCTTCTTCCAACAGGGACAAACCACCATGCGACAAGGCCACGCGCGGTGACGTGGTGACCTTATCTGACAGAAAAACCGGGGACATGCATAGTCGCAGTGCAAAAACCTTGTTATTCTGCGCTCGTTAGTGTAACTAACACCGACTTTTTCACGTTGGGCACTGCACTGAGAAGCGAGCATCGAGACGTTTGAATATGCACGCATGCACACACGCAGTTCGTCACACTCTAAGCACCGTCTATCACAGACAAGCCGCTAGACGCCCGACGCAGATAAAATCCTCCTCTGACATCGCCCTGTAGTTGCAATAGAGCGCATATTGTCTCTCCTGTTCCACACCCGAGCGTCTGTCAACACGCCTGATTCCCCTTACCTTAGTTCGCTCCCTCGCTGTGGGCGGCGGCGGCGGCGATGACCGGTGGTCGATGGTCGGTGGAAGACGGGCGGGCGGTGGTCGGTGGTCAGCAGACAGCAGGCGGCCTGAGAAGGCCCAGCCGGCGGCGGCGGCGGTCCGGCCAACTCCCGATGTTCCAGTGCCGAGTCTGAGTGACCCCTGGCCGGACCTCCGCGTCAGCCCGGCCGAGTCCACTGCACGGCGCCGGCCGTCCCGCACCGTCCACTGCTGCCGCCAGCGAGCACAGGCCGCGACTGACCGGTCCGCCCAGCGGCCGGCGGCGCGCCGCCCGTGCACCTGCACGTGCACCGTGCACAGGACCGGGCGGCCTGCACAGGACTGGGTAACGTGCACAGGACCTGGATACTGCCGAATACTGCCGGACACGGAGCCAGTCCTCTGTACCAGAGACCGTGCCGGTGGTAGGAGAGTTCCGAGTGACTTCATCACACACCGCATATGGTAATGTAACGTCAACGCTGGACGCTGTGTTTTGTATATTAGAAGAGCTTGACTCTGAGGATAACACAATACAAATACCTAAAACAGACAAACAATCCATAAAAAGGCGTTTCTGAAGAGAATCTGTGATATTTTTGTCGATTTCTTGGGAGGCATCGCAAAAAAAAAACCTAGCATTATTGTCCAATAATGGTGGGAGCCTGCAGTGGATATAAGGTTATCCAGCAGCTGTGGACTGGTCCCTAAATTGCCTTTCCAAAGAGGTGAACGAACTTGGCTTGTTAATAGCTGGCTGAATTGTTTTCCACCGTGTTCGCTGTGACTGAACGACGGTGTCAGGTGGCCGATGGCCGGTAACCATTGAAGTGGAAATCACGCAGCTGTAATCCCGCACTTCTCTACATCACCAATCGTTTGGTGTCGATGATGTGCTGACGATGGTAACGAAAAGAGTGCATATGCACACCAAACCCAACAATGGAATCATTAGTATGACAGGCATCGCCCAAGCCAAACAAATGCACCAGTCTGATAGCCATATTGTAATAGCTGGAAGGTAAAGACGGAACCGTATTGAGCGGGAATCAGAGTCGAATGCTTGCGTTCGAAAACACATTCCGGCACAAAAGGCTTGACTATCGCCTGCACCCAGCGGTTCCTTTCCGAGTAATGAAAAATGTGAGACGCTGTAATAATAAACCTCATTGGTGCTAAAGCCGACTGGTACGTGTGACTGACGTCGGTAACACATTTTGTACAAGTAAGGCAGCCTTGAAAAACGAATGCTGGACATGCCCGTTGCAGGTAAATGGAGGCTATCTGGCAATGTGTTGACGTTAATCGGTCAAATCGCGTGCGTCAACCAGTCTAGCCACGTGCGTTCGGCCACTCAAACGTCTGATTTTTCAGTGGGAATGAAACGCAATGCTCGTATAACGCTTGCATGCGCTCTAGAAAGGGTCCTTTTTGTTTGTTGTGAATTTGTATGCCATAAAAAAGAAGCATGTTATCGACATCAGCAAGTTAGAATTGTATGTCTTACAGCAAAAAGTTCCTCCATTACATGTTTAATTAGGTAGGTACATGACAAATAGCATCTCTCGCGGCTATCAAAATCTCAGAAGTATACATAGGGGAGAGTGGTGCAGGAGGCCCCCCCTTAAGCTCAGTTACTATTTTTAGACAACTGATAATATTTAAGCGCTAACGTGTGCATGCGCTGTGAGCATGCATCATTTTCCCATACATATTTGCATTCAAAATGAATCTAGGGGGTACACAAACCGTAAACTTTAACATTTTGGAAAAAGTTGCAAAAGGGCCTCTTACACTATGGGTATGGTAAGACGCCCCCCCCCTCGGGCGTTTTAAAAGTCAAGTCGACTTGTAAAAGACGCTTTGCGAACACAGCTGCAAGGCCTTTTATTTCGAAAAGCTAAGCAAATACGGTGTTATCGAAACCAATAACACTTCCAAAGCGCTCGAACAATGCGAAAACTAGCACAACCAAACGCTGATGACCAACGAAAATTGTACCTATAACCTCTAAGAAAAGAAACAGAAAAAAGAAACAAAAACAAACTCCTTGAAAAAAGAATGCCACGCCTGCCGCAGGTGCAGGCGTTTTAGCATCGGGGGCGTTTTTTATCGGGGGGCGTTTTATCATCCTCGAAGGGAGGGCCTCTTAAAAAAATACAGTGTTTTAACGTCCACAATATTTATGGTTTATGAGACATTTGCAGCGCACCAGAACATGGTCTATTCTGAAGCTAACATGTGACAATTTCGATGAGAAAAGATTGCATTTGATAGCCATTGTTTTTTTCAGATATATAAAGGTGATAAAGATGCATATATCTAGCAAGTAAAGGGGCAAAAACAGAAACAGGCTTACCAAAAGTCGCTGCGACGCACCTGATACCTCAGGTTTCGTGAGTTGTTGTTTCAAGAGGGCTTCTGCTTTACAAGGACATTAAAAAATAAATAACATTATTGGTTTGGTAAAAAAAGCGATGGGGCCTCTTACCGACCCTGGGCGTCTTACACGGATCTCCCCTAGGCTTTTACTGCTGTGGAAGGCCCAAAAAGGATCATTAAGAAATGTGCATTTATTTTCAAACATGTCGATTGCACATAAAACATGCAGAGCATTTTCATTCTCAGACTGATAAACTCGATTTCTATTGCAACTCATGAACAATTTGCTTATTTTTACCCGTTAACCCGTAATAGGATGTTTCGCAGAACTGCCCGCATTTTTCTTTTCTTTTCAGAGCCAATTACATAGTGAAGAAGGATTAGTAACTAATGCATTATTTAGGTATGCATATATTCCCAAACGGAGAAACAAACATGCCAAACAATCCATTTCTTCAATAAGAACGTTGGTATGGTCCTTGCACTACTGCAGTGGAGGGAACATAAGTGACTCAACCAGAGTACAGAGAACAAGGTGATAGTCCATGTCAGCTGCCAAACTGAGCACACCAAGCCCTGCATTCGTCTGTAGCTGTGTTGAAAGCTAACAAAGGGAAAACGAAGTAATTCCCTGAACTGCGGGTGGGTTAGTTACAGCGTGATGCATTGTAAGGTCCCCAAAAGTGACCATGGTATCACATATGACATCAGTTCGAAACTTATGTCATTGGGCAATGCGTGGAACGATGGAAATGAAGCAGAAATGGTCATTGGTCAAGGAAGGGTGGGTCTGTGCCTTGAGAATGTGGAACGTGTGTGAACGAGTGTGAACTTTGAGACGTTTTGCAATTAGCACTAAGCTCTTTTCCTTTCGACAATTATTAATGTCATGCTTGCAGGTAAGTCTTGATGTTTCGGTCTGCACAATTACGTGGCTGGGAAGTTAAACCACTACCGATCAATTGGCAAAATGTTCTATTTTGGGTTCTTGCTACGTTATGTTGTACAACACTCTGAGCTGCAAAGCAAAAGCATTATCAATAGATGATATTTAAAGATGGTTAATGACTTAATCTAGCAATATGTTTTGTCAGATAAAGGAATCCAGACTATCCCTATCCCACTCCAGGCCAGCGTGACAGGCTCCGCGACACGATCCTCGGCTCCCCGGGACTACATAGACTCCCCGGCCACGCTCCGTCTCTGTACTGTGTGCCGGTGTCGGAGCTGACCGTGTTTCACCTACAGGGTGTCACCGCGCAGCACCATTGCAGAGGCCATTGCAGCCGCCTCCGCCCTGCAGACTGGATGGTCTCTGTCCAGTCTGCAGGGCGGAGGCGGCTGCAATGGCCTCTGCACCTCCCACACCCAGCACGGCCTCCCGCCACGGGTTCTCACCGTCCGGTGCGCCGCGGCCGGTCTGAAATGTCCTCCTCTGCGCGAGCTGTTGGGTAACCGCCCGGCCCCTGCTGGGAGACCGGGGTGTGGCGGGGTAGGTCACCACTAGCTCCCATTGCGTCAGGACGTGAGACAGACAACGCACCAGCTCCCAGCCGCTCGACAATGTATTCATTATATTCATTATGGGGCGGAGTGAGTACAGTGGCGCTGAACTAGATTCAGAGCCACGCCCAATAATATAGCACCGACACAAGCCACACAACGTTCGCTCTGCAGCTATGCAAGAACCACCCGCACTAATACTTTACGGCTGAGGTGCGCAGCTTAGTTAAATTCGCCCGCCGCGAAGAGATTCGCGCACGAAACTGAAGCTGACAATAGACAGATTCAGACTGGCAGCGCTTGTCCATCCCCACAGCTGTCTCTCAGGCAAGCAAAACAGGCACCCGAAGCACATGTAGACACATTCCTTCCGAGAGGCTCCTCGAAGAACACGTGTGACCCTGCAAAAGAAAAAATATTAAAATCAGGCAAGTAGTGACGTTTGATTGTTTTGCTTTACAATGGTCCACAATTGTAGACAATGGGCATATTTGAGGTCCTAAAAAAATGTGCTGAGATAAACTTTGTTGCAAGCGGCACGTGATGTATGTTACTTACCTTTACTCTTTTGGTTTCACTTGCTACTTGGCTTCGTTCTTGCTACTTCTTTTTCCGCGACGTCAGTTTTCTACGCAATCTAGTTCATCACAAGACATCGATTTGGTCGTCCTGAAAAGGAGCACTCCGTCAGTTTTCGCTTCAATTATCTGGATCGTGTGGATCACACCAACATGTCAGCTAACGCCGATATGGGGCTTATAACCAAAAACGCTGTGATTTTTATCGTCCCGATTGGCTTTGATCAAGCTCTCAAAACCAAACACCACCTGGTCGATACGTTGTCGGAACACCCCCGTCACAATCTGGTCTAATAAGATAATCACCATCCCCGGAGTCGGCTCACACCACCGACTGGCCACCTGCGCCGCCCCAGGCCGCGGCCCGGGGCACCGGGCGGCTACCGGAGCCGCCCGGAGCCGCCCGGAACCGCCCGGGGCGGTCCGGAGTCCGGACATCTGGTGCGGCGGCCACCGGAGGCGGACGCGGCGGTTCTCAGTGGGCGTCAGCTGCGTCCACGGTGTTTTAGGCTTCCGTCTGACCGCCGGTGGGTGAGTGCCCGTTTGTCTGTGTGTGTTTGTATGTTTGTGTGTGTGTGTCTGTGGTCGATGGCACCCGGCGTCTTCCGGACTTCGCCGGGATGCGATCGGACGTGTGTGGGAATGGCCAGCACCTACAGCTGGCCGTGGAAATAGAGCCGTCTTACTCGAGCCGTCCAATTTGATAATGGCGTGAATGGATGTTGGATGCAATACAGCTGGTGCGCACGTCTTAGGACGTGTTTGGAACCCAAGCGGAGTTTGGATAAGGAAATGC